TGAACATATATATATATACATATATATGAAAAATGACATGTATGTAACATGTAATGTAATCGCTTCTTTTGCCAGGGCTTCGACAGGCAGTGCAGGTCTCCCTCCGCGATGGTTTCACGGACAGTAAGGCAATGACGGCCAGAACAATGTGTGGTGTTTTTCATTGGGGGTTCTTTGAAAAGCGTGGAAATAGAAATACATACATCCACAAAAGATTGAACTGTAGATAGTTAGACAAATAGTATGTGTTTAAAATATGTACATCTAGGATCATGACATTATTCAACTGGTTAATTCGAATCCGAGTTGAAAGGTTAAGGCCCTTGACCCTAAACCCTCAACCGCTAAACTCTCTAAAGCCCTAAGCTTTCAGATCCTAACCTCGAAACCTTGAAATCTAAGGCCCGACGCCTCAAAGCCTAATCGAACTTGGTGCCTGTCTTGCGCGAATGGAAACCCCTAAACCCTACCTGTAGCCGAACAACCTACCTTTTGTTTTTTGTCATGGCTTCTATAAAAAAACTCCTTCAAGCCCCCACCGAAGGCAACCGCAGCCCATGGCCGCTGGTTGCAGCGGCTGCATGCCCTGCATGGGTGCCTGCTCCACGATGCCCTGCATGCAAGGTGGGGTTGGGCGAGTTGTGGTTGCTTCGTTTTCATTACAATTGATTTCGGGTTTCATGGACAGTATCCCCCAGAAGAAACCGCATTGTACACTCGCCAAGCTTCTTAATGAGCACTCAAGTCCCGAGCAGGAACCCGACTTCATGTCGCCACTGCCTGCCACACCAGATATCACGTGCCACTGACAAGTGTCGATGCACCATGTAATGCCCTGCGGGCTGCATGCATGTGCAGCCACGACGACCACTACTCACTTCCTTCCGAAACCCAGAACAGAGGCGTTTGTCCTTGCGGAGCTGTCAGCGGATGCTCCGGCTCACCAGCTCCGGCCCAAGGCAGTGGAGCCTCCCTATTACAACTTTGTCATAGTGAGGTAACATTTTACATTTTTATGAGTACTTAAACCCAGTAAGGAATACACATGTGCATTTTTAAGCCGATCCCAACCATGACCTAGTGTCAATTAATGTAATGTGTTGAGGTGTATTGTGTTATCGGTTATCGTTTGGAATGATCTCTCTGAAGAAGGCAGTGTGGGGCTCACAATTTGGCTACACTTGTCGGGAAACACAGCGCGGGGCTCGTACAGCTCCGATGGTATGACCGAAATCTGTTTACCAAGGCGACGAAGACGCTGTTACAGGATTTGGGGTTGAGGGTCCACGGTACCCGATGATGACGTGAGCTTAGGATGGTAGTAATTGTCGGATTTAATGAACTATCAGGTGCTTGCAACTTTACAATTGGGATCAACCCAAGAGCCAGCTGAATTTGACAAGCTTGGAGCCTATGCGTCACCCTGAATATCAACGGAGGCCCCCAAGAGGTGTTGGAGAGCAGCCGTCATCCTTGATCCTTGCTGCCGTCCCAAGCGGCCCTAGCTGCCTAGCCACGTCTGAAACACTGGGCATTCAACCAAGACTGAGGTAGCAATGCTGAGTATGTCGTCAGAGTGCAGGAGTGGAATAGTGAATAGTGGGCAAAATGCATCACGCGAGCTTGAGCATCGTCTGGAATAAGCAATGAAGTTGCCAAGTTGACAAAGCAAGCCCCGCACACCCCAAATGATTTCTGCTCATCCGCAAGTGCCTTTACATGCAGCACGCCATTCCCGACCATCCATGCAGAAGCCACAGCCGGCAGCCGTCTTATCTAGCCTGAAGAGGCTTGGTGCATCCCAAAGAAACGAGCATGCGATCATGCCGAGGCCCCTATGGCTCCCATGGCGCAGGCACAGATGCCAATGCAGCAGCCTCAGCTTCAGCTCTTCTACGACGATCCACTGCGCATGAGCCTTAGAGAAGGTCCTGGTGGCTATGACATTGATGAACCATTGAACCATCAATGATGGTTGTGGTGGTGCTAGCGCCGATGGTCAAGATATCAAAGGCCTTGTCGATGATAGTTATGATTAGCATTGTGAACGTTTATTTGGTATTTACTATCTCAACATACAAAATTAAAAAGCTGGAAAGAAGGTAAACTAAAGCTACAGGACAAAGGTAGAAGAAAGGTAACCATATCGAGAGAAGGTGAAACAAAGCTACAGGGAAAAGTTAAAGCAAAGGTAATCATTTGCAGCAGCAGCAGCAGCAGCAGCAGCAACAACAACAACAACAACAAGTTCGCAAAAGTCCTTCAGTACCACAACGACAACCACAACGATTCAGGACAACTACTTTTAAGTTACGACTAGTTACTAGTTACTCGTAGCTTGTCAGGACTACTGACTGCTGTTGCTGCTGCCTTGAAAAAACAGCTATGTCTCTGCTCTGTTCCAGCCTGGGCGTTTCGCATCCACAGGCGGGCTGCCTCCCACTCCAGCCCTACCCCCCTCCAAACCACCTCCCTTCCCTTCGCACCCTCCCCCCCCTCTCCCCTCCCGGGGTTGACATTGCTGAAAAGCCGTCGCAAAAGCTGTCCCAACCCACTGCGGACCCCCCGCGCCCCCGCCCTCCCCGCGCCCGCGCCCCCCCGACGCCCAGACTCCCCCGCGCCCGCGCCCCGCGGCTTTGTGTCACCTTTTCCGAGCACCTTTTTTCCAGCTTTTTCCGACCCCCGACCCTCCCTCTGGAAAGTTAGCTTTTCCTAGGGAAAAGCTAAAAAAAAGGTGAAAAAAAGTTAAAAAAAAGGTGAAAAAAAGGTACAAAAAAGCTGGGCGCAGATTCAGAAGGTAAAGAAAAGGTGGACGGAAAAGCTGGAGCAAAGCTGCCCTGCAAAACCAAAGCTGAAAAAAAGGTGCCCGGAGTAGCTGGAGGCCAAAAAAGCTGCCAGCAAAAGCTGCAGGTCAGGCCCTGTGCACGAGAAAAGCCTTCCCTCCTCTCCTCCCCTCCCCCTCCTTCTCTCCTTCTCTGCGGAGGGGAGGGGGGGAGGGGAGGGAGGGGAGATTCTAGCTTCAGAGCTAGGGAGAGAAGGGGAGGGGACTGAAGGATTTTTCAGACAACTATAGTTATAATTAGTCGCATCCCGACATATATGTCTTCCAGAAATATGAACTGTCAGCAGACGCGCGTGTGACCGCATGTGACAGGTTGTGACTTTCGGCTGTGTCAATGTAGTGAGTTTGCTTCAACATTCAAACTCTACCTGCTGCTCCTCAGCTCGTCACCTTTTCCAGATACTTTTTCTTGACCTCTCTCTTGGTGTGTTACCTTCTTGTCAGCTTTCTCAGTTACCTTTGTTTTACCTCTCGTTTGCTGTGTCACCTTGCTTTCAGCTTTCTCAAATACCTTTGTCTTAGCTTTCCATTGCTGTGTTACCTTTTTCTCAGCTGTCTCACATACCTTTCTTTTACCTTTGTTTCACCTTTTTAATTATTTAAGTGTTTATAATAAATACCACCAATACACGTTCACAAGATTAGCATCTCGAAGCTGTGGGTAGCAACAGCAAGCACGGAATATGAAGCGCCGAAGGCCTTTTACTTCTTGAGATCTTGCAGATAGCATGGATGGGCTCGTGTAGTAGTGTAGGACTGAAAAACAACTGGGCGCCCTCAGCCTCAACCCTCGCCCGTAACCGTATTTAACCGTGCCATGTAGAAGCCTGAATAGGGCTCCGTAGTACAATGATACTCTAAACAATACACCCCCCCCCCCGGCATTTTCAACTGAATAGCTGTGTGGATACACTTGACACTTTTTGGGATAAGATCACCCGCTATGAAACTAAAAGTGTGCACTTCTTTGCGGCTTATGAACTCAGCAACTAAGTCAAGATCGTTTTTACTTCAAATCTTGCCCTTGCTCTGCACCCTCGAGGGCGATGCAGCCACCACCGCCGGCGTAGGCGAGGATGGGATCCCGCTCCCTATCAACGGTGGGAAAAAAAGGTGCGTCTTTGACCCTGACCGTATACACCCTAAACCACATCGCGTTGAAACTCCCGCATGATCGATTCTATGAGGGTCCGTGCGAGTGCTTTATGGAGGTGGCTTCCAGCCCAATCACTGCTGAAGACGCAGCAGAAAACTTGGATAGAAAGTACAGTGGCGTAACACAGATAGATAGCCAGCTAGGCAGCCATGTAGTTAGAGGCCGATAGAGAGAGAGAGAGAGGTACAGATAGAGACAGAGATAAAGATGTTGTTATAGATGGATGTGCATCTTCCCAATGACATATCTTGTATTGCTTAGCCTCATTTGCATGGGCTCGACACCGGCTCAGGTGAGTGCCCCGGGACCAAACACGTATCTGCTACTATACTGCGTGGATATTGGCTATGATCTCTTTGAGGTTTCATTCGATCCTACCGATTCCGAGGGGTTGGCAGACTCCACCTGGATTCAACTCGCGTGGCTCGTGGGTTGACTGCATGCTCTCCCGAGGTGGGGATGGGGTCTATGGAAGCCCGCTGCGAATACTCTGATGCTTGTAGTATCTTGTAGTGCTCATACTGTAGTGCTCATACCGGAGGACAATTGCTACGGGTAGTTGCTGTAGTTTCATTGTTCGACGACCGTCCCGACTTCGAAGCCGCGTTGAGGCTTGAGCCCGTATAGGAGGTCGCGACGCCACGAACGAACCTGGTAAGTATCAGCAAAAAGGCTGCGTAGGCATGCGGGTAGGGATTGGATGCATCGGGCACGACTTCCTTTTAAATCAAACGCATAGTGTCTGGGAGGACATGAGCAGCTCATACGGATCGTGGCACGGCCAATCAGCAGCACCCAACACAACAAATAAATGTACCGTTGATTAGTTAACGTGCCCAGTTGCCGTCTCAACCTCCAACGCCGGTTGACTGAGGATGTAGTGAGTTATCCTTGGTACACATCCCTCCCAAAATCCACCTCTGTGCGTTTGCTAAAGCACCCTTATAACAGTGATTATGCTGCCTTCATAGTGCCCCTTATAGTACTCTTGTCGATTCCGCCATGGAGCCCGACTTCTATGCACTGCTGGGGGTGCCCCGGAATGCCTCCAGCGCGGACCTCCGCGTCGCGTCGCGCCGGGAGGGATGGAGGGGCTATAGCGCTGTGACCTGAAGTGCTGCCCATACGCATGGCCATCTCAGTGGGGTTCTTGATTGAAACCATATACATGCATGTAGTATGTGTATTTATCTATAAAATCACATATTCAGAAAGCATATATCTATATTCTATATTATATGTATATATGATCGCACACGTTCCCAGGACACAAGTCTGAAGCTCTGGAAGCCTTTGGAGGTACAGGCGACTCTCCGCATCTGAGCGACCTCCTGAACCCTCGGCGAACCGGCTGCAGGGAGTCTGAGGATGGCTTTGATCTGCATGTTGTGAAAGCCGTACAGAAACCTGCGGCCCTAACGACATTGCAGCACTGTGCAGGGGTACCTGAAGACAGATTCACGTGGACGCATGCAGACGGCTGCCTGCGCACGTGGCAGTCGCATGCTTTTCAATCCTTGCAAGCGCAAGTGCCAAGGTCCGCCAGCGCGGCGGAAAGTCCGAGTCGATCGCCGATGCAAAACGCCGGCGCTGGCTCCAAATCCAAGCGGCCTACGACACGACGCTTGGCCAAGGGTGTCCGTGGACATGGATCTTAAGATTTAAGCCTGCTTCGGTCTAGGCATCTCTGACCAGAGGCATCCCAAGTTACCCCCTGCTTTGGGAGTTGTCCAACGAACACCTCAGGGTGTGCATGGCTTAGTGTGTTCCAGGGTTAAGGCTGAGCTTGAGGCTTCAGGGTTTTTAGTCTTACTTGCAGCTTGTGTCCGGCTTTACTCTGAGGTTTCCCTTTTTCGGGTGACTGCGCTAGGGGCCCTGGCTGGACTCAACAGTGACCAGAGCTTCAGACATGCATCGGCAGACCCTTATAAGCCCAAGCCCTAGCTATAAACCCTAAAAGCCTCGCCTGGATTGTCCGAGTGTGAGCGCCGAAAAGCCCCAAAAGCAGATATATCTGACGATAGAAATGCAAGGCTCATGAACCCGCGGCGCCGCACGCTCTATGACCGAAGCTGCCCTGGCGCAAGTGAGCCCAGTCCACTGTTGGAGCCAAAGGAAGATCCCCCAACAGCTGCAGGCACTGTCTAACTATCTGTTTATCCATCAAAAGGCATACTGTACACACATCAATCTGCTAACTTTATCTATATACCGGTTAGCTATATACCTATATGTATGTTTTTATGTAGCTGCATTTGTGTCTGTGAGCGTACTTACATCTGCATCTAGATCTAGATGCCTGTCTTTATCTCTATCCGTATCTCTGTATTTTATTCATGTCTATGTCATTCTATGTCTGTGTACATGTCTATTTCTACGTTTGTCCGTCGGTCGGTTTGTTTCTCTCTCTCTCTCTCTCTGTCTGTCTGGGCCTGTCTGTCCGTCCATCTAACTATCTGTATTTCTTATATGTGCCTTTTGGCTGATCTCTTTTCACCCAGAACTCGTTAAGTTGTTCTATTTCCAATCCTGTCGTGTCATGATCTCGTCTGACAGGAAGCCTTCTCGATCTGCCTCCGACCTTGGGCCCAGAAGAGGATTCGAGTTGGGGCCGCGTCCGGGAAGTTTTCGAAGAGCTACTCTCAGAGGAGCCGGCCGGCGACGCTCCCAAAAAGGCCACTGACTTTGGGGGTCCTCTAACAGCCTGGGAGGATGTCCGGAGCTTTTACGATTTCTGGAGCAGCTGGGCTACGCGACGACCCTTCGAGAGCGCCAGTGCCTTCAGCAGCGAGGAGATGGCGGCAGCGCCCAACCGCGCCGCCAGGCGCTGCATGGAGCAGGAGAACGAGAAGCGCCGGAAGGCGCAGCGCCTGAAGTTCAATGCCGAGGTGCGTGAAGCAGTGGCGGCTTTGCGGGACCGGGACCCGCGAGTGCAGGCCCGGGCTCGCGCCTGTGCGGAGGAGGCGCAAACTCGAGAGGCTCTCCGCGAGGCCGAGGAGGAGCGAAGGCAGGCCGAGCGCCGGGAGCGCCGGCGCGCCGCCCGCGAGAGCGAGCTACAGCGGTGGGCCGATGCTGAGGCGGCTGAAACCGAGGCCGCGGACGCCGAGGCCACGACCCTCTCGGCTTCGGCGCCTCCCACGCCATCTTTTCCACCGTCCCCTTGGGTTTGCAACATTTGTGATGGCAAGGCCTTCCCGTCACACCAAGCTTACGAAGATCACCGTGCTTCCAAGCGGCACAAGCGAAACGCGCGGGGCACACCGGAGGTCTCGCCTCCGGTGCCGGGCCCTGCCATGATATCTCCTTACATGCTGCCATCAAATGCAGCTCCGGCGAACATGGACAACCTTCCAGGTGTGGAAGGGGGGTGTTTGAATTGAGCATGTTCGGGATGTTTGTTGTTCCGGAAGTAAGTAGTGTTTACCTTTATAGACATAGAGATGCAATCATCGTATGCGCATCATGTACTCATGCGCTTATCCTTCTGAGTATTTATACACACATGAGCATGCGCCATACACATACGCACTTGCAATTCTATTTGCATGCGACATGATGCGAGCATGCATGCATGCATGTATGCATGCAAGCATGTATGCATGCAAGCATGCTTTGAGCATGAATGCCTACACGCATCAATACATGCACACCCGCACATGTTTGCATGCATACATACATACATATATCCGTACATGCTTGCATGTGTACTGAAATACGTTCACAAAATACACTTAACCACACACAAGGACATATATATATATATACACACACAAGACAGGCAGACAGACGGACAGGCCGACATGCAGATGCTTGCACAAGCACATACACAAGCACAGAGACACACCTCAGCAATGCAGAATGCGCATATCGTTGCGGATGCACATGCTTTTTTGGGGTGTCAGCCCACCTTGCGGTGGCATTCCTGCTGACCTGGGTCGTGGGATTGATCCAGCCATCTTCACGCTGGCGCAGAGACGGGAGTTGTTGGCCTAAGACCAACATTCGATCCTAGACTTTGCAAGAAGCCTTGTAGACGTACTCCCGGAGAGGCTTGCAGCTTCCTGTGGCGGCCTCCGGCAGCACGGAGCAAGAAGCAGAGGCAACCCGGACTTTGCTACACCCGACCCAAACCCGAGCCTCTCGGACTCACAGGCCCACGACGAGTGGGGCGCCGGCTGCCTGTCCACCCTGCGGAAAGAGCACTGGTGCGGCGACTGAGCTTTGCAATCGGGGCAGATACCGGGTTGAAGGTCGGAGTATACGGGATCTCACAGCAGGGGTTCTAGCAACCGAATCATCGCCACCTCCTGGTTTGCTTCGTCTTCACATCCTTCGCAGCTGCCAGTGCCTTATTGCCAAATTACCGCCAATGCTGTGAGTATTGTAGTACAAGGCGAAGTGTCGTATTGTCGTATTATTGGTGTGAGGACGATGGTTATCCCCATTATTCCAGTGATGTTGCTGCTGCTTCTGCAACAGCCGACGGCTGCTGCTGTAGCTCCTATCACACCCGCCCACTCCGGAAGAACAGTGGAACAGGACTACCTGGTTTAATTTCTCAAGGTCTCATACCAGAGTGTGTGCATGCTCGATCAAGATTGGTTCCCGATTCCACCATGTTGTCGGCGGCTGTCATTCCGCTCTCCAATACCTGCAAGGAATCTTCGCATTTCTCACGAGCCGCGAAACCATCCTTCCCATTGGGGCTCTGCTATGCGCGAGGTGCGCCACTTGCGGAATGCCGTACTCTTGTGGCAAGATAATCAGTCATGCCAGGCCCTTCTCGAGCTAACAGGCCCTTACAACTGTAGCTTTCCCGGTGCATTTTGACTCCAAGTGTTGGAAGGATTTCGAAAAGAGTGCCAGTCCGCCAAATTGCGAGAGTCGAATCCCTAAAACCCTAAGCCCAACAAGAGAGGACCTTGTGGATTATGTGGAGCCTCACCTGCCTCGTGCGAGTGTGAGCATCGAAAGCCCTAGAATCCTACAGCACCAGACAGACCCCTAATATCAGGGCCTAAATGATTACCGGGGGTTCCTTATTATGATTATGGCATAATGGGCCCCCAAAGCCTTATTGTTACAGCCCTTTTATTACCATATCCAATCTTGCATGTCCGACAGGGCTTTGCGATCGGGCGCTTTTGCCGATGCTGGGCTGTGGCAGTCGCCCAGCTCGAGCTACAGTTCAGGCTTGACGGTTTGAAGGCTTTACGTATATGGGAGGTTTCTGAAGTCTCTTCTGCGATTCGACCCCACTGGAGGATCCTTGAATTCAGGGGAATCTTATTCCGGAGCTCCTGATATGAGAATTCCTGCTCTTTCAGGCTTCTGCGTCAGCGTCCGGCAACTTCAACTCCCATGTCCTCCACTGCAAAGACTAGTTGTCTATTGTGCGAGGATCCTCGGTTCTCAACCCGTGACAAGTGATGGCTGCATAGTTTTAGAGTTTGGGACTGAACACCTTAATTTCAAATTCAAAAGTTCTGAAACACCCGAGGTTGCTCATGCAACAACGGTGGCTTCAAAACGGAGCAGCCGGAGCAAGTTCTGCATTTTCCTCGGCTGACTACCGACTCTTCACCCACGCTGTGGCAGCAGAGTCTATATGCTCCTTGAGGAGCATGCGGATTTGAAGGGGGTGGAGGGCAGGCTTCGAACACATACACATGTGCACATTTTATATGCAGGTAGCAGGCGGAGAGGCCCTTGACCGCTTTCTAGTCTATCAGTATGCACATACCTACTACATATGTACAGACATAGACTGTTTACATCGACAATATGGTTTATACATGCATTCATACATAGGGAAGCTGTCCTTTAAAGGACCTATAAAGTTCCTTTAAAGGATCTGTAAGGGTTCCTTAACAAGAACCCAGTATCCGGGCAACCTGCTACGCAAAGCCTCCTAAGGCTCGCAGATGGCCGAGGCCGCCGGCCTCGAATCTGTGGCCGACGCAGAGAAGGATCCTAAGCCTCCAGGAATAATGTAGAGGCCCAAGTAATAACCACCATTATTCTTGGGGTTCCTTATTCCTTATTACTAAATGTACTACAATGGAGCCCGAAACCCTATTCTAACTATCAATGGCCATATGGTTAGTAATTAGATGCAGTTGGGCGTTACAAGTCACCAATGAATAGTCCTCCTTCGGTTTCCAAGTATAGTTGTATTGTAGCGTCTCCCCAAACTGTATTCTGATTGCAATTATTCTGGCCCCTATACAACCCAACTGTCGAACTTTTCTGGGTTGTTAGATGTTAGCATTATGATGAAAGTTGCATCGTCTATTGTTGGGCTCTTGATGACAGGTTGGCGTTGTCCTGTAGGTTCAACTGTTCATGTTTGGTGTTTGCTGGTTTATGGTTGTTCTGAATTGTTAGCAATTTCTTCGTGTCGCTCATCAAAAGTCCATGAGCCAGTTTAGAGAAACCCCCAAAAACCCTAGCAACGTATGTCAGGATGGAGAGATGGATCCTGAATCTCGCTGTTTCTGTGCCTTGGCCAACTTGTCAGAAGGTTTGTCACCTGCTTTTTGCGCTTTAATCATGAGTATTCCTTCGGGTTTTCGCTGTCGCAGAATTTCCCTCAGAACCTATTCTACTCTATAGGCTTTATGGCGCATCTGCTCCACGGAAAGGTTTCTGTCTCTAGATGCCGTGATTGTTGAGACCTGATTTTCTGGCAGGGTTTACGGTTTGCGTCCGGATATTAAAGATCACAGAACAAGCCTCACGGCTACATTCTTATCCCAAACCGCAAAACCTAGACCCTACTTCTCGCGCCCGACATCCCGAACCATGAACTTTAACTCTAAACCTTCAACCCCTAGCCCAGACCATTGCCTCCCAAGGCACCCCTACCGAATGCCTAATGCCTTTTCCCATTCCAGCCGCCGCAACGATGCGGCCAGTCGAGGCTCGATGTCCTTGGACACGCCCTTCCACACCATCACTGCTGAGCATCTGGGTCCTTGTCAAGTGACAGAAACGAGGTATAAGACATCATACTAGGGATAAGTGGAGATTGACAGGCTGGTGGGGCTGTCTTACAAGCACAAGAGCTCTTGTAAAGGAACACCAATAGCAGCTATCCAGTCAGTCCCCCAAAGCCCCAATCCTCCGCCAAGTTGATCATCCTTCTTCTTTTCTTCTTGTGGTCTAAGTGGGAGCTGCAGAAAAACAAGGAACCCCCAATGTAGATCTGCACAAGAAGCAGGAGCTGTATACGTACCATAAGAATACCAATTTAAAAGTTCCGGGCAAAGACTCTTCGCCTAAGCCCCCCAAAGCCTGAGAGAATCCCAGGCACGGCCTGATCGCCGTCAGCTCGATGGCCTCGGAGGTCCGCCTCTTTGAGGCCCAACACGCATGGGCTGAGGATTATGGAGCCTTTTTAAGGACCCCTAAGTATATACCCTTAATATAGCTATTATATACCCATTATATAGCCCATTATAGAGGGTTTTAGGGTTTGTCTCAGCCCGGATGCAAGAATGGCGATTGCACAAGTCCTGATGCAAACAAGGGTCTAGGATGTAGCAACACATGGTTTACAGGTTCGGGGTTTGAGATGTTAGTACTATTACCCCTCGGTGCACTTAGTTGCACTTACCGTATCAGAGGACTCATAGTCTAGGGATCTGAAGCAATGCTTCCAACATACGAGTCAGAATAGTTAGCAAGGGTATGTTTAATCGGATCAGACACGGTGTTCAGATCAAGTTTTGGAGGGGCTGAAGGATTTAAGTGGAGGGGTGAGGGCTTGAGATTCTCTTCTGGTCTAAAGTTGAGAGTTTAGGATTATGAACCAATCAGTGAGTGTATATGTCGGGTGCTTTCATGGGGTTATCAATCATGGAAGCTGAACCATATTCGCGAGATACGTGAACCCACACGTCAATCCAAAGGCTCAATTGGAATCCCGACCCCAAAACACAACTGGTCCCAAGCAAGGCTACCGAAACGTCCTTCCGTCGTTTGCCACCTCTTCGGCGCTCACGCCGCGGGGCAGCGGACCTTATCGCTCTCTGCCCGAAGGCACGACCTGGTTTTGCCCGCTCGCTTTGCAACAGACAGACAGTGTGCATCAAGACAGATATAGATCGGTACCACCAAACTTATAAGTAAGAATAACTTGATTCGTAGCCAAACATGTGCGCAGGAGAGGGAGGGGACCCCGGGGAGGGGGAGCGGAAGGGAGGGAGCGAGAGAGAGAGAGAGAGACAGAGTATGGACAGTCGAACATCGCACCACGACTTTGTACACAGGCCACTTCCGTGAAAGTGCTCGCGGCCACTCGTCCCTCGCAGGCAGACAGCGGTCTTCTGGCGGTGGCCGAGGTGGATGGCATCGTGCGCTTGGAAGACGTCACTCAGACACTTGAATTTGTTACGGCGCCTTTCAGAAGTTACTATTCGTACGAAGTCATAGCCACCGCGAAGATCGGTTGTGGTAGTTATATCTTAAGTCTAATGTGCAATTACTGATCAAGCAGCATTGTGAAAGCCTACTGCAAGATGAATCTCCTATGCCAACTTTCAAGTTCTCGTTTCTTGATAGCGTACCCAGGACTGAGGCGTCTTGTCCGGAGCTGACGAAAGACTCTGTGGAGGGATCTTGCCAGGGCACCTTGCCTCCATGTCTCTATGAGCTTCCGAGGGCTGTATGTCGGTGGCTTCATGAAGCCAGCGTACCGGCTAGGTAAGATGCCTCTTGAAATCCACGATCTTATTGGGAGTTGGAGTCTAAGAGGGGTATGTATTAGGGCATCAGGATGTGTTTGTGTTGTTTTTCGTCCTTGTCTTTTTTGAATCTGCTGGCCAGGAAGTCACTGGCTGAAGAGGTGACTAGCGTCCGTGTCAAGGGTTCTGTTGCAGAATCTCCCTCGTCAGCCGTTTGTCTTTTTGGGACGACTTCGGAGTTTGGGCTTCAGCGTTCAGTGAGCTCCAGGGTGTTCGGAGCTACAGACTTCAAATCTGAAAGCCAGGCAGACCCGAAGCGCCGTGGAACCCAAGTACACTACGGCTGATCTTGCGAGCCCTGCAGTCTATGCACGCTCTCCTCGGCTACGATAGGCTAGGATGTTAGGTCGTAGTGCGACTCACGCCATTGTTGGGTCTTCCTACGTGAGCTTGAAGACTAGGGAGAGAGAAAGCACTAGGTCAGTGAGTCATGTTTCAACTTTTGATTCCCCTCGTTTAATATACCCCCAAACCGTGGACTCAGAACCCAAATCTCGCCTGGCATGTGCAAGTGCGAGCGCCGCAACCCCAACACTCTACACCCAGCACCCCAAAGTGGCATCAGGTCTCTTTTGGCTCGGTCAGAGCCTGGCGCTCTGCAGCGCCTGGCGAGGGGGTGCGGCACTGTACGATGCTGCGAGGCACAGAATCGTTGCTGGAAGACTCGGTCGGAGTTTGGGATGTTTGTTGGTTGAACTTTTTTTCTATTTTTTTTCTGGTGTGGGTTTCGATTCCACATATAGAGGTTGCTCACCCTAGCCGTAGGCCCCTGTCGTTGGTTGGTGATGTCACCTATAACGGGCTAAGCCCAGCCCCAATGCTCTAAAGTGGTCGGAGGGAAACCGGACGGGATGGACAAAGAAACAAACAGCTGTTCGGCCTGCGTAACCCGAGCAGAGCAAAACTGCAGCCGAAACCCTCGGCCCTTCAACCAGTGAAGGATTAGACAGGGTAGCAAGTATCGGAGTTTTGGGTGGGCAGCTAGAGTTGTTGCCTGGTCGGCGTTGGCAGCTACGGGGCATGTTGGAGTCTATAGAAGCCAGAAAGGCGCAGGTCTTCCTCAGAAGGACTCCTTACCGGGGGTCTGTCATCCCGAACTTTATAGGAAAACATCCACTTATATCGAGCTTGTAGTGGGGGCTGCTGGCTGCAGGTCTCATCCCTCCATGGCCCCCATCGCGACCCTGGAGTGCCGGGGCCTCCTAAGAGCCCTTCGCTGGTCGAACCACGCGCTCTTGGCCTCCGCAGAGGAGCTCGGACTGTGGGATTCTCGGAAGCCTAGCTAGGATGCCCAGTAGTACCCTTAATCCCTTTTTGTGGTCCTAGGTTCCCTATGAAGTTATTCAAAACCAAAAACGGAGCCCATTTTATTCCTAGGTTACTGGGCATCCTAGCGGAAGCCTAGTTTTGTGGTTTGTGTTTTGTCTTGGGCCTTGTTCCATGCTACAGCGCAACGTACCGCCCCACACACATAAAACCTCTTGTTTCTCCTAGAAACAGATGTTTAAAGAATCACCTACCCCCGAAACGATCGACGAAGCCTTGTCCTAGCCCTAATCCCTACTTCCTTTAGTTCCTTTCACTTTGTCAGACTTCGAACCATATGCCTCACCTGGATTGTCCGAGTGTGAGCGCCGAAACCCCTAAACCCCCTAAAGCCCTAAACCCTAAAGCCCTGATCCCGAAAGCCCTAAACCCTAAAGCCCTAAGCCCCAAACCCTAAACCCCCCAAAAAAACCCAAAGAACACAACCCCAAACCCTTACCCCGAAACCCCAAATCCTATGTGGAGCCTTGCCTGCCTGTGCGAGTGTGAGCGTCGAAAGCCCTAAACCTCCTAAAGCCCTAAACCCTAAAACCTTGAACCGAAAGCCCTAAACCCTAAAGCCCTAAACTTCCTAAAGCCCTAAACCCTAAAGCCCTAAACTTCCTAAAGCCCTAAGCCCTAAAGCCCTAAGCCCTACTCCGAGGATTTCCGGTGCCCCGCTCTGCAGAGACTCTGGAGCCGCAAGGCGGCGACTCTCACGGCGCTGGCGGCACCTCGGAGCTTTTTGGGGGGGATCTTTAGGGTTTAGGGGTTTAGGGTTTGGGGGTTTAGGGTTTAGGGTTTAGGGGTTTAGGGTTTGGGGGTTTAGGGGTTTAGGGTTTAGGGGTTTAGGGGTTTAGGGGTTTAGGGTTTAGGGTTTAGGGGTTTAGGGTTTAGGGGTTTAGGGTTTAGGGTTTGGGGGTTTAGGGTTTGGGAATCCCTGGCGGAAGAGCGGCAAAGTACCAGGCGTCCTTGCAAGCAAGCCTGCAGCAAAAGGGTTTGGGAATCATCGTGGGGTTTTGGGTTTAGGGTTAATATAGGGGCCTAATCATTACCCATACTATTTTGGGGTTCCTTATTATAACGATAGTATAATGTACCCCAAAATCGCGGGGTTTGGGGGTTTAGGGAACTTGGAGGCACTTCAGACAGACCTCGTTCAAAAAGAGGTGGTTTAGGCTCAGGGTTTACAGTAGGGGGTTTACAGGCCACGGATAGAGGGATGGACAGATAGACAGCTCCAAGAACAGACAGGCACAATGCAGGCCATGCTTGCATCATACTGACCCACCAACTTGCCCACATACATACATACATACATACATGCATACATACATATGTATGTCCACATATGTGTATATATATATATGTATGTATAGACTATGTGTGTGTGTACATATATATATATATGTAGAATGCAAGGAATGAGTTCACGAGCTTGTACTTGGAAGCTCCGTTCTTTCCTCTTTAAGTTGTTCCGGGCTCTCGACACCACTCACGCAGACCTTCCCAGAAAGAGCTCCCGAGGTGGATTCGGATGGATACCACGCGGCCATCACGACTCAAAACTCCCAGGGTCTGGGCATCGAGGGCTTCGACCTGCGCAAAGCCGAGGTGAACCAGAAGCCGTTGATGATTCGAGACCTTTTGGGCCTCTATTCCCAAGATGTGTCCAAGATCCAAGACTTTTGGACCAGCTGCCTTTCTGTGGGTAGACTTGGCGAGACTTGCGCCGTCTTCAGTGACGGTACCCATGGCCTTGATTACATGGCTTGCTTTGCTGGCGGCCCTGGCACAGTACCCTTGGTCATGGGTCCCAGCAACTTCAACATCACAGCTTTGCAGTGCGCCGGCAGCCAGTGTGCGAGCCTTGTGGGGGTCAGCAGCCCAAGCCACGCTAGCAGAGGATGGGCAGAACTGCGCTGGCTATCCCGAGCCGCCGCTCAGCGAAAGGCCATCCGACGGGTCAAGCCGAAGAAGTTTTTCCGACAGCACAATGCAGGTGAGAATGACTTCCGTGAGCGCGGCTTGGGCCGACGTGGAAGGCGTTGAAAAGAGCGATTGCCATGTTGGAATTTCCACAGCTGAGGGACCTCGGAGGAACTCCCTTTGCTTCTCCGACGAACTGGCTAAACAGTGGAAGCCTTGTTCGGAGCTTGTCCAAACCGCTGGCAGGAAACACGCCCCTATGTTTCAATCACCATCTTGAGTGCGTGATTAGCTATACGACGAGCACAGACACACTCACACACACACACACACAGACTGTGACTGAGACACTTGACATGAATTTGACAGGCTCGAATTCGCTTTAAGTAGTGGTGTTGGGTTGCGCTGCAGCGCGGCTCAAACCACCGGGAACCCCCAGGCCGGATGCTCAATGCCCCTTGTGGCCCCCGGACTTTCAAGATCAAGTCTGTCGGCAAAACTCCAAAGCTAGCGGCTCTTACGGCTACTACTACTACTACTACTACTACTACTACTACTACTACTACTACTACTACTACTACTACGATTATTGCTACTACTCGTACTACTACTACTACTACTACTACTACTACTACTACTACTACTACTACTACTACTACTACTACTACTACTACTACTACTACTTCTACTACTTCTACTACTTCTACTACTCCTACTACTCCTACTACTACTACTACTACTACTGCTACTACTACTACTACGACTACTTATTGCTACTACTACTACTACTACTACTACTACTACTACTACTACTACTACTACTACTACTGCTACTGCTACTGCTACTGCTACTGCTGCTGCTGCTGCTGCTGCTGCTGCTACTACTACTACTACTACTACTACTACTACTACTACTACTGCGACAAGCACTACTCCTACTCCTACTCCTACGACCACCACGACTACCCTACTACTTCTACTACATTTATTAGAAGATTAAGATGTGCCGCGCACCCCCAGCCCTTCAACTCTGCGCCGCTGCTTGGGATTCGGCTCCTAGTTTCTGTCAAGGCAAGGCTTCGAGTAATTGGGGGGAGAAGGGGGCCAGGAGATTCAAGAGATCCAGAAAACTGCCACAAGATGTGAATTTGGTTGTTATTGCTCTTGCTATTGTTGCGGCTATTAATATTTAGCTGGTATTTTTGTTAGTCTAAGGAATGACATGAACTTGTTGTTGATATTGTTGTTGCTGCTAATATTATGCAACTGTCATTATTGGTATTATGTTGCTATTCTTATGGTATTGGTATTATCATAATCGGTGCATGTTTTGGTTGTTTGTTGTTACTACCATGTTTTGTATCTGTATTAGTATTGGTGTTAACACTATTACACCCTTATTCATACTATTTTCAAACTTAGTGTTAGTTATCATGCTTGTTTTAGTATCGCAAGTACTGTTAATTTTGATTCCAGGGCGAGGGTGCCTCCAAACGAACCTTGAAACACAGGTCAAGTAGCAATGCCCTCAGGTGCGAGATCTCCTGAACTCTCTAGGGGTATTCCAGAAGCTCATAAAGAATACTGACAGGAGTGATATCAATAGCAGCAATAAGCCAATACTAACAATGATGGTTGTACCGGAAATCATACTAACATTCAACTACCCAAAGCCCTACACCCTAAAGTAACCAGCTTTCAGGCTTTGTGAGCATGGCGGCCGGGAGCTTGGAATCATGCATTGCACTGTTGCTGTTGATAAGAAGACACGAGACTTCCTGCGTGACCTCTGCACTACAGTCGCACGAAACTGCATAGAGTCTCCTTGTGTTGGTTGTTGAGTTTGCTTCCTACCGTTGGCACACTACGAGGAAGGTCTTGCTTGGGAAAGAGCATGCTGAACGGTTTAATTTGATTCACAAGACGCTGGCGGCAGGGCGTTATGCGGGGGGGGGGGGGGTTGCAGGCCATCGTAAGCCCAAGGATCATGAACCTGAATTCAGGCTTAAACGCCCATGATGCATACATATCCTGCATTTTCTTCCACTTGACACATCACACCTGAGATGCATATGTCGACAGTCGCACCTGAACCATTCAGATCCATTCCGTGGATGCCGAAGCCACGGACTCAGAGTGTTGAGTATGTCCCTTTGCCACTTCCTCTAGGTCCGAATGAAGCTAACAAAGGTCGTGGGGTTATCGCCGTTCATCGAGAAATTACCTTTCAGGCAACTAGATTTCGTGCTCAGCTCGGTGCTCATGGGCTTAAGGCTTTTGGCTTACGTATGGAGCCCTCCGATGCAGGACTTCTATGTTCTTGGTTGCGGTTCAATTCAAAGCTTGTAGGAAGGTCATGTCCACGAGAGATCTAAAGGCAAGCGCACATTCCAGGGCTGACGTTTCAGCAAGCGTTCCAACTCTTTCTGTGCAATGCTACTGCATCTTCATGTGGTGGAGACGCAAGCCTTTGGCAGAGGCAGGTTCGGTTGCTGAAGCCTCGTCTCTTGAAGAACGGAACTGCAAGTCTGTGTTCATCTGTTTCGTTGTGCTCTGTTTCCTGTCTCTCTGCTGTTGGGCCTTGCGTTTGCTTTGTTCTATCTTGCTGTTTGGTTCTATGGCCTCGGGTGCCCTTTCGTCGGTGTAGGGGAGGCCTGAGCACATGTCGTATCCGTCGGCTCACCTTCCGTACCTACACTGGGCCCATGTCCAGCTTGAACAGTCTTGCATGTAGCTCTGCACTCCATCGTTTGCACAGGCTCAAGGCTGCTGCCTTATCAGTCTACTCCCGACAATGAAGTTCTGTGCCTTTCTGGCCGCTTTTGCCGCCTTGGCCTCTGTGGGCCAGGGCCGCACCGCACTTCGCACGGCACGATCCCGTGCCCAAGCTTTGCGGGCCGAGGACGAAGAGAACCCTTGCCCGGGAGGACACTTCATGGGGATCTTACATGACATGAGCCTAAGTTAGTAGTACTGGGGCTCTACAGGTGTTAGTGACTTTAAGAGGGGTGTGTAAGGGTTCTAGAGGCCGAAGTCCTTGCTAAGTATGAGGCAAAAGAACCCTAACACTTTCGGATTACTAACGGAGTAACGCAGGACAGCCGAATCGCTACCCCTCCGGGCTTGACAAGAGCTACAAGATCATCGGCAAGAACAAGCTGGACTCTAGGTGGCAATTTGGGATAGGGCTGTGAATTCCATCGTGGTCCTATGCCAACCCTAAAGCCCTGTTTGGCCTGTCCTTGATGTCCATCATGGTCTATACATAAACCCCCGAAGAACCTACACGGCACCCTTTCAAGGGGACCCTGGTATAGAACCCTCTGGTATAGTTAAGGACCCGATTATGGAGCCCCAAAAGCACCCTTTAAAGGGGATCCTATGACCTTGAACGACCCAGGATTCCATTTGGGACACCACAAAGCTCCGTGAGGCACTAGCCAAGGAGGAGCAATGGAAGAGACTTCGCTCGGGTAAAGGAGCATTATTCAGAGTAGGTAACCTTTATATAGTTCCTATACAGTCCCTATAGAACCACAAAGGCTAACCTTTAGTTCCCCATGATACCCGATAAGTAGGTACTGAATCGATCAGGGTTGCTTCAGGGATATACTATAGGGGGCAAAATAATTGCCAAGACTACTTTGGGGGTTCCTTACCTTAAACTGGGCCCCAAAACTCTATTCTAATTTTCAAGGCGCCTACAGTAGTTGCTTCAGTGTTCTTAGTAATTTGTCGTTGGTTGTTCCTATAATGATAAGGAAACTTTTGAAGATGATGCTTCTATTTTGCTTTAACCGGGCGCAAAAGTTTTCATTGAGGGCTCGGAACAGGATTTGGGGGTAGTTATTAAGGCCCCACTATACTCTAGTAGCCCTTATAGACCCCTTTTAAGGAACCCTATTCCAAAGGATCGGCCAGCCGTGGCTCCTCAAGGCGACTTTCACCAACAACGGGCCCACCAGCCGCAGCTTCGGCTTCCAGGGCGGCGAGGACAAAGGCGCCTAAGCTGATTATTACCCAAGCTGATTTGGACTTTAGGGGTGAGGGGTTTAGGGCTTCAGGCACCGAAGGTGATTTGGACTTTAGGGGTTTAGGGTTTAAGGCACCTAAGCTGAATTGGGGCCTAGGCTTTAAAGCAGGGGTTTAGGGGTCAGGCTCCTGACTTGTTTCAGTTGAGCATGAGAGGCTTCTGAAGGGTTGAGGGTTTGGGGGTTGGGTCGTAGACTGGCTTGACTTGAGTCCAGTGGCAAAAAGGGGTTGGCGATGTGGAAGGGCCGGAATTAGAAGGCTCTTGATAAGGACCTGGATCTACGCTACGTACTAGACTAATTAGACGAACTCAGGCTTTTTGGACATCGTGGTGCCTGCTGGCTGCGTGGATTGCGTCCTAAGCACACAGGCCCGCGTCTTGTCATCGGCTCAACATACGGAGTTCCAGTACAGAGACGACAAGCCCTTCACCAACGGTGAGGTCACCATGAGCGGCATCTGTCTAACTCCCCAGGTGTGCAAGGGCTTCAAGTGCCCTCATCCACTCACGCAGAAGCTCAAGGGCAATGAGACTTTCGGGTGGTCGGAGAGTGCTTGCTGCGAGCCCAGGTTCTGCAAGGATGAGGTCACTTGCTCACCGTCGAGCCAGTGGGAACCGCGCAAGGACTTCGACACCCGCATGGGCTCCACCCCGCAGGCTTGCTGCACGGCCAAGTATTGCCCCTCGGATTTCTGCGACAACATCACAGGTTGGGAGAAGCACCCAGCGACCGGTCTGAAAGGAAGCAGCAAGGAGGAGTGCTGCATCCAGAAGGAGTGCATGGATTGGACCTGCTCTGACGTCACGATCATGACAAAGAAGTCCATCACCGTCGCCGACCAGCTGACGGGCAAGGACACCACCCGCAAGGGCTGGAGCGATGTGGAGTGCTGCGAGGAGCACCACTGTGATCAGTTCAAGATTCCGAAAGAGTTGAAGTCCCTGTGGAAGCTGAAAGACAAGGCTGCAGAGATCCGGGGAGTGCATCTGAAGGACTGCTGTGAGCCCCGCCTCTGCTCCGACTTCGCCTGTCCCAACAACACCAAGTGGAAGCCCAAAACCCAGTCGGCTGAGGAAGGCGCCCTCGCAGGATCTACCCAAGAGGAGTGTTGTGAGCCTCTCTTCTGTAGTGCCTACACGTGCAGCAACACCACGACGCTGCAGAAGAAGGTGGGGGGGCGGGGGGGCGGGGGTTTCAGAAAGCACGGGGCGATAATGGTGACCATAGGATCCTCGGTGTAAAGACCTTGAAATCAGGGATCCCGAATTCCAAAAGGGATTCCCAGGTGAAGCCGGAGGAGCGTCGTGGCTCCACAGACGAGGAGTGCTGCGAGGAGAAGTTCTGCAAGGACTACAAATGCTCCGACCCCACCAAGCGGATTCCTGAGTGCTCTTCGATTGTAGGTCTCATGCAGGGAATCGATAGATTCTCGGGGTGCTTGTTAAATGAACCCCCCCCGAAGTGTACTAAGGTGGGTTCATTTCTCTGACCAGCTCGGTCCAAGCAACATTGACCGGCGTGGCAGCTCGGATGAGGAGTGCTGCGAGAAGCTTTTCTGCCGGCCGGAGATCTGCAATCCCAGAACCCTTGATTATACAGTAATTGTTTTGTCGTTATACTGGATAATTAGTCCAAGCCTTCGCGAAAGGTTTTCTAGCGAGAAAACTCTGTTGCTCATTCTGGTAGCTCTTTGCGAAAGAACTCCACTGACATGACAATGATACATAGCAAGTAGTGTGGTTCCTGCATTCTGGTAAATCTTCGTCGAGAGCAAGAACCTAGGCACCATGTGGAAGGGCAAGGACGGCCTGGACACGCTCCAAGGGAGCACTATGGCCCAGTGCTGCGAACCCGTCTATTGCGGCAACTTCACCTGCGACACCGATGATGATGGCGACGGTGACGGCACCATGTGGTACAAGAAGATGGACACAAATGCATACAAGTGGCAGGGAAGCACAAACGAGGAGTGCTGCGTGCCGAAGTACTGCAGTCAGTATACCACCTCCACACCCACGCAGTGGAAGAGGAAGCCTCAGAAAAACGCCCAGGGCAGCACGGATGTGGAGTGCTATGACCAGCTGTGGTGCTCTGACTACTGCTGCGTCGGTGCCGGATGGGTGAAGAAGCCGGAGGCGGGAACCCGACCGGGAAGCACGGATGCAGAGTGCTGCACTCCTGGCAGTGAAGCCGAAGACCTGCCTGACCTGCATACCAAGAAAGTGCGCTGAATCGCCTGACCCTTAGCCACCGCATCTTGCTAGCAGCCAGAGCGAATCCGGCTTGTCCTGTCCAAGCGATTGGCTGGCAGAGGAAAGGAAAAAGCTGTCAGATCTGACGGTGAGAGCCTGCAGTCCCGGAGGCCCGGAAGCATGTCCCGTGGAAATCCGAAAAATGGTGACAAGAGGACGGGAAGAACAGTAAAGACACTGAGAGACACGACAAGGGCAAGAATAGTGGAACAAAGCACTTAACAAGGCCATCAATAGTCAGAGCACTAGCCTCTGCACAAGAAGCAGTATAGCAAGTGCAGGGCTAGCAAGCATAGCCACAAAAGCCAACCAGAAAACACCCAACCGGCTTCGTTGCAGTAGTAATTATGTTAATCGCGACCCTAACAATCACGAAAGGCGAGTGGCAAAATACCGAGCATAACAGGAACTGCTCTGTTTAGACTTCATAGCCTAGCTGCGGCACCACCTTCACAACGGCACTTCTTTGTGTGTCAGCCCTACCTGAAAGCATGTCTGTATACGTGTATTGCCTCCCCCGAGACGGGTAGAATGAGTTATCGTATCCGCTTATCGTCCCCATGGCACACTGCAATGTACACCAACATCCTATTGCAAGTGTCAAGGCTTCTCTATCGAACCAGCTCCTTTGATGTTCCATCCTGGAATTGGCACACATCCCCGGCAATCGTTCTGTCTAGCAGAGTTGCAGTGGAACGCTCGTGTACGAGGCTCACATACCCTTAACTTCAACCCTAAGCCGTTAAACCTTGAAGCCCTAAACCCTCAACATTGCTGGACTCCGTGCCTACTTCGTGCGAGGGTGCGGGGGGTCGAAGCCCTTAACGCCCCTACTACAGAGGTCCAAATACATAATTTCCAGCACTATACTGGGGCTCCATAGTAAAATGGCAAAACCCTATTCTAATTATTAAGGCGCCTCCTTTGAGCTCTGAGGCCGGATCTGTTCTGACACAGTTCCCCTGTGAATCGCAGTTGTCGCTTCAGAGGCCGTGGCTTCAGAGACGGGATCTGAGATAGAAAGTAACATCGCTTAGAGTCCTCTTTATAGTTCTGGTAGGTTCTAAATGATCAGTTGTGGTTATATCGCCCACCGAGCCCCAAACCCAGCAACTGCCAAGTTCAAACTCGACAGTTCGAGGTTCGCAGGTCGGCTCGGGTTTCGAGGTTGGGTCCGTGTAGGTTTTACAGTGTGTGGGCCCTTCTTATGTAAGTGTTGAACCATCCATCGTAGGTGATCAATGACTAGGTTCTGTGGTCTTAGCCTAAGTGTGTTCTGGAACCCTGAAGCCTCAACTGGGTTGATGGGGTCTGCGAGTGCTGGAAAGCCAGCTTGCCATCTCCAGCCAGGTCTCCGAGATGCCGCTCCATGTCTACTCTTGCCTTGGCTGGTGGCTTGGCGCTGGCGCAGTCCGCCAGGGGCCCATGCCGCAGAAAAGGTCCTCTCTGGGGGTTCAAGTTGTGAGAACGTTTGTGAATCTGAGTCACTGAAGCTGGATTGGTGTGCTAACGAACAAACAGGTGATTCGATGACACATATCAACACGTGTCGCACTTAGTAAACACGTAATGCATGGCATGGAAAGTAGTTGGTGAGCGCAGCACAGCAGTTGCGACGCTCCTTGAAGCCGACGACATGTAGTTCTCATCAAGCGAGAACTGCAAAGATCTGTCGTAGCTTGCATAGGATCTTTGCTGTGCTGCTCTCTCATCACCCCATAGCCACGTCGCGACGAAACGCAAGGACGTTTTGCGGAGCCTGCTTGGAGAAGATATTGATGATGCTGCCCGGTCTGCCCGGTTCGTCTACTCTCATCCTTGGCTGCCAAGCCTAGTGGGAGCTAGTGATGAAAGACCACCCCAACCTATGAGCTCGATAAACTATGACCGCCAGATCACTCGGAGGAAAGTGTGAAGACCACTAAACAGCCGGCACTAGTCACTAGTATTCACTGATAGCCCCTATAAGAATAAATAAACTCGACGGTAATTGAAGATGCTACGCCGAGTCCTAGGTCGCTTCCTCGAGTGCGTTGCCTCCATCTCCCGAGGGGGACGAGGGCGCCGAGGTGCAGGGCTGAATAGTATAGGGGCCTTGATGATTGCCTACACTATTTTGGGGGCTCCTCATTATAATTATAGCATATTTGGCCCCAAAACCCTAAACTATAAACTAAGTATTAAGGCCCCTATATGAATGGGTTTAGAATCTAAGGCTTACGGCTTCAGGGGACTGTTGGAAACGTTTTGAAGCTTTATAAACCAGAGCGTGCTGACATCTGTTTTCCGTTAAGACTACATGTCCTCATGTTGAATAGCAGGCACTGCAGCAAGGAAAAGGAACTAAAGTCAGGTTGAATGTGCTGTGGTTGGAGTTATTTTACCTGACGAGCCCGCGCCAACTCGACTGATGTGGTCAAGAGTGACGGAAAATGGCAGTAGCACAGAGCCGACTGACACGGTAGCGATATGGATTTGGATTGTGCATGGTCACTTGGCGGCGACAGTACGACATCTTGCGTCTTGAGGGTCAGTGTGCTATGCATCGGTCTCGCTGCTTCAGGATGCTTGGGCGCTCCAACTCATGAGTAGATGATCACCGTATGCTTTGCAAATCCACAAACGGCCAACCACTCCATTGCGCCAAGAAAGGTGATCAACCTGAATCTACGTCAGTGCGAGCAACCGCACATGCCCTAGCCTGAAGTCATGACGCTCCTCTCCTCTAGCTGCAATCCTGTCAAGCTGCAGTCCTGTCAACCCTGCTCTCAGCCCAGGTAGAACCCTGCAGAAACCGAAAAGACTAGAAGTTTTGCAAAAAAACCTTGCAAATGCCAAAGAACACTGACTGAAGTCGTGTATGAGGCCCAGAAACCCCAAAATCTAAACGCTGTACGACCTCCCATCGGAGCATTGCATATGCAGCAGGCGGCGACCTCGTCTACTTCCTCGTTCCGGACAGTTCTAATGTATTGCTTTGTTCGGATTGGGGGGGTACGGGAGTCCCAACCACAAACATCCCCCCCAACCTCCAGAAAGCAGCACCGCCTGTTTTGATGCATTAGATTGCTGGATGCAAAGAGGCATTGCCCTCCTGGAACTCCTACAATGTCGTTATCAGGGCCCCTTCAGATTCTGAACCTCCGACAAAAGCCCTGGGCTGCGGCGGTAGTTGGAGCCCCCCCTCGTCGCTTCGATGGCCCTGATATCGACACCTTAGAAGGGCCCCCACCCTGTAATAGTGTATATAATAGGAATATAGTAGGGCCCTAATATAATCCTAATAGTCACTATTACAGGGTGGGGGTGCAGCTTCTAACCGACACCCAATGCCTTGAACCTTTGAGCCCTGGAACCCAACTCCTAAACATGAAGCTCCAAACGCCAAGATGCGGGGCCTTGAAACTGAACGAGGCATCCCGGCATCCTCTTGAAGTTCCTAGAAGTGACAAGTCTGGATTGTTCAGGCGCCATCCAAGACATGTATGAATTTGTCCTCGATCCTGAATTTCAACGCCTGGTTCAATCCATTTGGCTGCCTATCAAGAGCGAACTCTGAACCGACCAACGGCTGTAAAGCTTTGCCTGCAACTCTGCCAGCGCGAGGGTCGAAACCCTAAACCCGTTTGAAGCCGAAACACTCAACTAGGTGGCAATTTGGGAAACTTTGTAATTCCCCTTATGGTTCTTATAAAAGTACCTATTCATAAATACTTTTCAGAGCCCCGAAACTGCAACCCAGTCAAGCCTAAGTTATGTACAAAACCCAGATCCCACCTCGAAGCCCTTGAGACCAGCTGCCTGGCCACGAGGAAAAGTGCGGCATGCGACAACACCTCAGACGGCTGGAGCTTGCGGGAAGGAGATCTTCTGACACTCAAACAACTCCAAGGCTTCAGGGTGGTTTGAGGCAGACAGGTGGTTTCGGGATGCGAAGGGGTTGGTTGTGTAATGTTAAGGGCTTCCGATGGGGGGTTTTGGAGCTTTCTAGAAGGGCTTTATAAGGCTTAGAAGGCTTGTGTATGCTGAGGAGGGTCTAGGGGTCCAGAGCGTGTTGTGCCAGGATCAGGAATCCAGACCAGAACACTTCTCCCCCCTGACCAAGGCAGACCTAACATAACAGGATCCTTAATAACTAGAACAGGACTTTGGGAGGCTCCTTTTATTTCAATTATAGTACAATTTACTCCCAAGCACTGGTCTAATGATTAGGGCCCCTTACCTTGTTACTATAATATGTTAAAAAGACCCCTGAGAGGCGATCCGAGTCTCGGAAGCTGAAACATCGGCGTTGCCCTTTAACAGGGATCTTGTTCCGAATCGCTTGGTTGTGGTCCTGGGTAATTCACCCAGAGTTTACTTGACTAAAGGTGCCGTAGTTGTCTATCCTGTTTCTGTTTTCCTTCATGAATACTACTCACTGTACACTCGAGAAGCCCAGTCGATCATGCGATGCGCCTGCCCAATTCTAGCTTGGGGTAAGTGTCTTGAGGGCGTTGGGGTTTGCGGAGTTTTTGCAACCCTTTGCCAGCTCGTGTGTGAGCGAGGAGCCGTGGCACAACGCAGGGAGAGGCGGACTTGTGCACTCGAGCTTGACTTTGAGGAAATCCTTTCTTTGCTTCGGGCTTGGGCGTTACGATACGAGAGCTGATGGAGGAAAGCCTTGCCGAAATTGATCGTTTGGTGGAAAGTTGGTTGCAAGCCCAAGCGGAACGGCATGAAAGAGACCTTGCGAGTACGTGTATCATGGTAACCCGCACCATGCTTGAACCGCAATCCAGGCCCTCAGTAACATAGCTACCGCTAGACCCGAATTCCCAAAGTCAAATCTTCCAAACCTAAAACCCCTAAACCGCGAAACCCTCGAGCCTTGGGTGCTCGCACAGTGGCTTTTAGTGCAAAGTCATCAGGGTGAACCCCAATTACGACTCCCGAGTACCGGGTCCCAGGAGCTTCCTTTTGGGACTGGTCTAGGATAG